TCAAGCGGGCGGTTAAGGAACCAAACATGCATGGCAACCGTATCCCTGTGCTCATACATTCACAGTTCGTGCATCGCGCTGCCGCGCGAGGACGATCTCCCAGCAGGGTCCTTAACGGGATCTTCGCCAGGACGCCCGTTTTTTGCCGTTCGCGGGGTGATGGCCCCTCTCCATTCGGGTGCGGAGCGCCAAAGATCCTGCAGATGGCCCGACGAGAGTTGACGAGATGCGCGGGGCCCGACCGCGCCCTCGCGAGTTGGTGGAGTCGATTGCCGCCGTCGAGAAGCATTGGAGCTGGGCCGCGAGTGCGCACCGCTCTGTCTTTGGTCGCCGACCGCCCGTCTTCCACGACACCTTCGGCGGGCCGAAGGGCCCTCTCAGCGCTGCCCTGGAGCGCCGCGGCTGGATCGCCATCGGCCGCGACGTGCTTAATGGCCCTGTCGAGGACCACGCGGGACCCGACGCGCTCGCCCACGGTCCTCTCGGACCTGCGGCGGCCATGGGGGCCGCGGCAGGACCCCGAGGAGACCCGGGGCAACAAATGCGTGGGGGCCGGGCTGCATCTCGCGAAGGCCCTCGACCGCGCGGGCGCCCTACGGGCGCGGGAGCAGCCTCGGCAATCTCTTCAGCGGGTGTTCCCAGAGCTCCAGGGGGCCCTCGGCGCGGGGCCGCTCTACGAGCGCGTCATGGATTGGCGCGCGCGCAGCGAGCGCTGGCGCGAGACCACCGCCTGGAAGGAACGGCAGCCGTTCCTGTCCCCGCTGGCATGGCGATGCGACCGCGGCCACCATCGCCTAGTCGTGGAGGGCGACATCAATTGCGAGGACGGCGTCCGGCGGCTTCTGACGGAGGTGGCGGCGGAGTATTCCAGCGAGTGATGCGATGCGGTGCCCGCGCAGCTCGACACGCGCGGCCGCTCGCCGCGCCGCTGATGCTCCTGGTGACCTCCTGCAGCTGGCTCGGATTTCCAGGAGGAGGCCCGCCAGCGCGCCTCGGCGCATTCACGGCGCGCGGGTTCGCGGGCCAGGCGGGCCCTCCGAGTGAGAGTCGAGCTGGCCACTGCCCGTCGACATATCATCACGCTCGACCAGTGGAGCCCGTAGCCCCAGAGTCGAGGGCTGCCCCGCCCTGACGACGTCGCCTGGGACATCAAGCTGCTCAACGCCACCCTCGTCGCCTACATTCAATTTTTGTTTACGCGAAAGCGCCATGCTCCTGGGCATCCGAGACCCTCGTTGGCGCTCAGTTCCGCTGGCCCCAAACCCGCGGCCAGCTGCGCCCCGCCAGGGCCACGGCGGCTCGCCGGCGCAATGTCGAGCCGGTCAGGATGTGCACGCCCATGCCTGTCGAGGCCCGTCGAGGCCCTAGCCGCGGCTGCACAGGCGCAAGGATGGGACAGGACGGCAGCGCGCGCGCCCCTTCGCATGCCACTCGCTGTCGCGGCCAAGCGGGGCCCTGAATGCCCTCGGACAGCATCTTGTCACGCCTGGGGACCTGGGAGGCAGTATCAGCGCAGGCGTGATCGCGTTGCTCTCTGCTGAAACATCGGACCGAGGGCCTAAGTCCCAGAGCGTCCTGATCGATGATCCTGCGTTCCTGAATTTGATAGGGCGCGTCTTTGGTCCGCTCTCCCCGACGTCAACGTTGCGACCAGAACATTTGCGTACGTGGGCCGACCCAGAGGTTCATCTGCCTCAAGATCCTGGTCGGCATCAGCGACTCGCCCTACACCCATGTCTCGCTACGTGGAGGCGGGGCCATCCATCACTTCCGCTCGTTTGAGAACCTGGGACTGATGCAATACCGTGGGCGCTGGGAGACTTCACAATCAATGCATCACTATTTCCAGATGGGCGCGGCCGACCTATTCTTCGCCCACGCGACATCCGGCAGCCGTCAACGCGTCCAGCAGCTTGCTCAAGTCGCTCCAGAAGCGTGGGGCGGTGGGGAGCGCGTCACCAGTACACCCAAGGAGCAAGACGCAGATCAAACTCATGGCAACGACGGCGAGGTTGGAACAGGTTGAGAGCTCTTTGTCTTTGGGTGGTAGACGGATGTGAGCTGCAGCTTTCCCCCCCTCCCTCCCCACCCTTGCGAACAGTTTTTGAACAGGTTGAAAGCTCGCTGTCTTTGGGATTTTGTGAGGCCGCGCGGCAGCGACAACGCCGCTGAGCCCCGACGCCCCTGGCCGACCTTTGGCCAACTTTTCCTAGCAAGCTTCACACACGGGGTGCTTTGGAACCCGAACCGTCAGAGATGATGGTGATGATGACGATGATGATGATGAGGATGATGAGGATGATGATGAGGAGAAAGAGGGGCCGGAGAGGTGAATGAGAAAGGACTGGATGGAAGGGTCATCGGACTTTTCCAAAAAGCTCGCAAATTTCCCTCAACACCCTGGAGGTCGTTGCTTCCGTTCCGTTTCTCCTCCCTCTTCCGTTCGCTTTCACATAACAACTCCTCCTCCCTGCCGCACCCCCAGACGCGTCGGTAGGGCGAGCTGGGCGTTTCGCCTCGGGTTTCTTCCACGTCTTACGATCTTGAAGAAGCTTAAGATTTGCACCCGCTTCACGGGTGGAGGGCGCGCCGTTTTCAAAATGTGCATCTCGCCCCAGCGCCCCACACATTCGCTGCAGAAGTTGCCAATAAGTTCGCGGATGGAGGGCGGGTGGTTTTGAAAAGGTGTTTTTCGCTTCAGCGTTGCGCACGCTCATCTTAAGAACCTGCACCGGCTTCACGGATGGAAGGTGTTGCTTGTTCAAAAAAACGTGGCTCACGCATTAGCGCCGCGAACATGCATTTTGAATTTCTACAACAGGTTAACGGATTCGTATCGGTGAAGTCCCAGAATAGGCGTGCTGGCACGATTTAGGACTGTCAGAACGCAACCGTCCCATCGATTCGAGTGTCGAAGTCCCAGCAATGGTGTTCTGGCGCGATTTAGGACTGTCAGAACGCAACCGTCCCATCGATTCGAGTGTCGAAGTCCCAGCAATGGTGTTCTTGCACGATTTGGGCTGTCAAGGCGCAGCGGTCAAGTTGATCCGCGGCGTTAAAGTCTCAGGAATGGCGTTATGGCACGAAGGATATTCACATACGGTGGTATTCATATGCGCCATGCACCGCAAATAAACACATGTCGTAGGGATCTACGAAGAGGGAATTTTCAGGGAAGGTTCATTGGAACATCGTTGAAGCGCGGTTTTACGCTGGTTATTCTCCTTCCTTCTCCTCCTTCTCTTTCTCTTGTGCTCTTCCTCCTCCCCCCGCTACACCTTGCCTCCTCCTCCACCTTCTCCTCTTCCTTTGTCCTCCTCCTCCTCATCCTCCTCATCCTCGCCATCATCATCATCATCATCATCATCATCATCATCATCATCATCACCAGCATCATCATCAGTAGCAGCATCATCAACCTCATCATCATCGCCACCATCATCGTCATCATCATCAGCATCATCATCATAGTCATCATCATCATCATCATCATCATCATCATCATCATCATCATCATCATCATCATCATCATATCATCATCATCACCATCATCATCATCATCATCATCATCATCATCATCATCATCATCATCATCATCATCATCATCATCATCATCATCGTTCACAGTATCCCCCTCCCCCATGTACGCTCGTCCGTTCGTTCACTTTCTCATGGAGCGCTTTCCGAGTGCAGGCAGTCCCGGTCGTTCGGGTTTGGGGGGCAGTCCGCAGACGAGGAGGGAGAGGAGGATGAGGAGGATGAGGAGGAGGAGGAGAGGAGGAGGAGAAGGAGGAGGGGGAGGAGGGGGGGGAGGGAGGGCGGGAGAGAAAGAAGAGGAGGAGGAAATGAGGACGGGATGAATGGACGGATGAGGGGGAGGAGGGGGGAGAAGGAGGAGGAGCAGGCGGACCAGTGGAAACCCAAAACTCACCAACCGCGCTGCAATACACCGTTCCTCCAAGTTCCCCTCTTCGCAGGTGCCTACAAGAATGTACTTTCACTGCTGGAGGTGCCCCGTGGGAAGACAACCGTCTTGGAATCCTCGACCGTGCCAGCGCTCCACTCCTTGGATCCCAGCGCCGCGAATCAACTTCACTGGTGCGTATCCTGAAGCGTGCCAGGCAACTGCTCCTCTGGGACTGCGACGCGGCGGATCCACGGGGCCGCTGCGCCCTCGCCATCCTAAGACCGTGCCAGAGCACACCGTTCCCGGGACTTCAGCCATACGAGTCCGCTGAGCGGCCGTAAACGTTTGAGGCGAATGCTCGCGGCGCTAAGGCGAGGGCCACATGTTGAAAAAGATCCGGCCGCCCGGCTGTAAACGTTTAAGACGAATGCTCGCGGCGCTAAGGCGAGAGCCACATGTTGAAAAAGAGCCGGCCGCCCTTCACCTGTGAAGTCCCTGCAGATGTTCAAGACGAATGTGTGCGGTGGTCAGGCGGGAACCACAATCTGAAAACCAACCGCCCCCAATGTGATGATAATTGTGGGCGGTGCTAAGGATAGAGATACATGTTGAAGACGAGCCTTTCTCCATTGATGAAGATCCTGCTAACATGTACAAGAAATGTGCGCGGTGCTGAAGGACAAGAGCGACATGTTGAAAACGAATTTTCCTCCATCCGTGAAGCTCCATCAGACTTTTGCAGCGAATGCGCGCGGCGCTGATGGGCAAGAGCTACGAACTTTCCTCCATCTGTGAAGCCCCTGCAAACTTGTACAGCGAATGTGCGCGGCGCTGAAGGGCGAGAGCCACATGTTGAAAGCGGCCTGCCCTCCGCGGAACGCACGGCCCGCCCTGCCGACACGTCCAGGGCGCGACAGAGAGGAGTTATGGAAGGATGGAGGGGAAGGAGGAGAGAGGAAGGAGGACAAGAAGGGGGGCGGTGAGGAGGTTGGAAACGGTGGCGTTGGAGAAAGGCACGAAGCAGAGGCAGAGGCGGAGACAGGACCCCAATGACGATCGCGCCCCGCCGTCCCTTCCCCGGGCCCTCCGACAGGAGCCGCTGTTCCAGACGGGGAACTCGTGGTACGACGAGAGCGACCCTAAGGCGTGTGCTGTTGTGCTCGTGTGCGAAACTGGCTTGGCCACGCCACTGGCTAGGGGCACGAGATGCGGCCAGGAACTCTGGCGGCTGCGCGTGTCGTTCCGCCAGTTCTGGTCCACCATGCTTCGGCGCGACACGCTGTCCACATTCCAGTCCCCAGGCATCAACGTTCCGAGATTTTCTCAGCCTCCCGCCCCACGGAGCGGAGCAACTTGCCATGCGCTCGTGTCGCCAGGGCCGCCACCGCGAGACGCTTGACAAAAGTTGCCAAGCGCAGTCTAGATACGTGAACTTCTGGTCGTAAGCCCAAGCGCCGCCTTTTGTTCTGCAGCGCATTCGCGAGAGGAAGTGATTCGGGCTGTTTGCTGTATAGCCAGTTGTCGGTGACATGTGCTCGGTTCTCCATTTCTCTCTTTGATTGCGATGGTTGTTGGGCAAGTGCCCACACGCAGAATTCGTGTGAGTGCAGGCGCAAAGCCGGACGAGTGCAACTTCCTAGCCCAAGGCAGTAATGCGAGTCCATCCTCCGAGCCCGCAGCACGGCCGAAGACGACACGGCAGCCAGGCCAGGCCCCACACGCCATCAACAGATAGGCGCGAGTTCTGTCCACCACGCACTCTCGGAAGTGGGAGTTGGGCATATCTGTTGTTAAAAAGATTATCCACCATGCAACCGCGATTATGCTCATAAGTGCAGTCCCGCCGTGCACTGTTTGCAGGGCACGTCTTGTGGAGTGTGGTCCTTTGGTGGGGTCCCGAGGTCCTCCGTCACACGGCGCGTCCACACGCTGTGGATTCTGTTCGCATCATTCGGAAGCTTTGGGGCTCCAGATGCATAGGGCACTCCAGAGGCTTGTATGACGAAATTGTCCTCCTGGCGAATTTACTGATACGTCGCCGTCGCCTTGTTTGCGAGAGGTGTCCTGGTGTCGGGGGGGTCGTCGTCGCCTTTTTCTCTGACGCCTCTCGTGTCCGTTCTCGAGCGTCACAGCAGATTATTTGGCGTGGGATCGCTATGCGTTCAGCATCGGCGTAAACAAGGGAATCAACCGGTTCGCTTCACTTACTCCTAATGATAACGGTTCGCCGCAATGTATTATTTCACGAGCTTTTGCCAGGAAGTGTGCTTCTTTATGGTTGTAGTGATATGCGAAATTCCAGCGTGGGATCGAAAAGGTCTACGTTGCCACCGGTTGCTATCGCCACCTTCCGTCGGCGTCTTCTTTACCATGTTTGCTTGCTTGGATTGTTTATTTGATTCCCCCCCGTGGCGTCGCCAAAATCTCGGGTGCTCTGCTCATGAACCATTCCCGTGTAGTGTTTTGGGGGCTGAGACAGCAGGCTTCCCACGACGTCGCGAAGGAATAGCGGCGCCAGATCCTCCGAGCCGGGTCAATCTGTGAGAGACCCAGGGCTCGAAGCGGGGCAACACATTCGTCGTGATTCTCTTCGCTCTGGGTTGAGCAGTACACTCTGGAGGCGGCGTCTTGTATCTGTTGGGGTGGCGCAGCCTGCAGAGGGCGCCCGCGGCGCCTTCCCACCAGGCTCGAAGCCCCGTGGAATTGCCACGGGCAATGGGTGTGGATCTACCCCTGAGCTCGCCCCCAGCCGCGAGCGAGCAGGGCACGAGGTGATGCGGGGCGCGGGGCGAGTGATTACGCAGGGGCGGCCCCCGCTGGCGCACTTCCCCCTTTCCCCCCCCGCTCATTTGGCGGGGGCCGCCTCAGGAGGAGGAGGAGGAGGAGGAGGAGGAGGAGGAGGAGGAGGAGGAGGAGGAGGGGGGGGGGGCGCTGGTTCCCAGCTGGCTCCTCCCTTAGAGGCAGGGTCCCCGCCCCAGCCGCGCGCTGGCCCACAGAAGCCCCTCGGCATGCGGAGCGCGGTGCGCAGAGGGCCGCCCAGGGGCTCCAAACATCAGCATCGGCATCAGCCAGAGATGGCGAGGCAGAGCTGCGTCGGGCTATCCCATCTTCGGTGGATCTTCACCCTCTGAGATCGGGAGGAGGCAGGTGCAACCCGCGCACCTCCCTCCTCCCGGCTGGTGGCTCCCAGAGGTCTCATCTGGAGCCCCCCCCTCGTCTTGAGGCCAGCAGGCCCCCTCCATTGGCTCGTGGCCCAGGGCCAAAAAAAAGGAGCGGCGGGCGTCGGGCAGCGAGGAGGAAGGCGGCGGCCACGTGAGGCGCCGTCGCGCTCGCGCGTCGGAGACGAGCGCCCAGGTGGGGCCGCTTCCTCCGGGCCCCAGGCACCAGGATGCGTGCCCGCTGGCATTTGGCATTGGGCGCCGATGGGGCTGTGGGCCGAGATTGTTGTCTTTCTTTCCCGACCGCCCTGCTGCTGCGGCGGCGGCGGCGGCGGAGGCGGCGGCGGCGTAGGAGGAGGGGGAGGAGGAGGAGGAAGAGGAGGAGGAGGCGAAGAAGGAGGAGCAGGAGGAGGGGCAGGAGGAGGAGGAGGAGGAGGACGACGAGAAAGAGACCCGTAGCCATTTCGGCCCAAGTAAACCATGTATTGAGGTGGTTGAGGAACCACTTCGAACCTCGGGTACTCGCAGGCGGCTGGCCTGCCAGAGGACAATCCATTTTTTGTTGCATCCCCTGCGGCTCAGCCGCTACACGGGAATACATACAGACACCACGGTACAGTATCACTGCTACCCTCGTTCCTTTTCAGCGCCATGGGCCGACAAGGCCAGCGTGGACAGACGCAGCCGAGAAGCTTCTCTTGGGAACGCACGGCCTGCGCAAGTACCACGAGCAGGAACCGACACTGGTGTTGGCAATGTGGGGCTCATTGGAGTACGACGGCTGCGAGCTGGAAGTCCCCAGATCACAGTCCACGAAACCATTATGAAGGAGGAGGCCGTGGCGCAGGAGGAAAGAAAGGAAAAAAAGTCTGGAAAAAAGAGCGGTGGCGAAATGGGGCGGGACAAGACTTCCTTTCCTCGTCGCCTTGTTGATGACAGCGCTGCTGCTTCAGATCCCGCCTCGCAAGAGAATGCGTCCACGGGCAAAGGACCTGCGAAGTTTGCCGTCGCCATTGGCCAACAGATCCAGCTGTTCCAGGATGTTTACGACATGTTATGCAAGGGGGAAGGCCAGCAGGCAGTCCAGGCGATGCAGGCCAAGATGGGTCTTCGTGCAGAGCGTGACAGCGGCAAAACGGCAAGCGCAAGCACGAGACAGTTGTGCTGCAGCCGCTGGCCAAGGCGGAGGCAAGCGCAGCACCAGCCAAGCCCAGCACCGCCAATACCTTCGCCACTACCCAAAAAAATGAGTTGTGACGAGCAGGTACGAGCAGGTACGCAGGGCTTGGAGGTGATGTACAACAGGCGAAAGCTGCTCTCGAGATTGTGGGCCCTCTGTTCGCTGGAGGCATTGTCGCCCCAGGGAGCGCGCTCATGGCAGCAGCTGGAGACAATCGTGAACAGCAGCCGCAGCTTGCAGCACCACCGCGAGGAGAACAGCGAGGATATCGTCGGGAGCGAGACCAGGGTGGAGACGTGGCGGACCCACCAGTGGACGGAGATCGAGACCGGGACCGTGAACGCAGTCCCCGCTTGCGAGTACGTGGGCCACGCGAGCAGGCTGCAGCTTCTGGGGGCAACGCAGGCTTTGCCAAGCCCAAGCCCCCTGCGAAGGCCGCCGCCAGCGGAGCGTGCGCAGACATTCAGGGGGATGAGGATGATATTTCACATTCGCGAAGCACAGGAGGACGTCCTCCTGACCCGCCTCGCCCCGCAGCAGGTGGCCCATCCGTCCACGTCTGCATTGTTAGTGCGTCTGGCTGGAGACGAGCTGTTACCATACCAGGGGCCCCAGAGCTCACATCGTCTTGGTCCAGGAGCATAAGTTGCCCCAGAGCAGAATATTTGGGGCCCGCCAGACCGCCTTGAAGCTTGGATGGGGAAGTCGTCGGGCCCCTTCTGTTGAAATTTGCATGGGTTTTCCTGCAGGTGGAGTTTATATGTTGTTCAGGAGTTACCTGGACTTCTTTTGGCAAAATCCCAAGCGAGGCACAGTGATCCCTGGTCGGGTGCTCCGCGCCCACTGTTGCATTGAAGCCTTGGGAGTTGCCATGATCTACTGTAACCATTGGTGTACCAGCGTCGGTTTGGAAAGAAGAACCTGGACTCTGCCGAGTCTCGGAGAACGCGCGCGCCCGCGCGGATTGACCTACATCGCAGGGTCAGATCTTAAACTGACACCGAGCGAGTTCAGCATAGGACTGGAGCCAGGCCGCTTTGGTGGCGAGGTGGTCTTCGGCCCTGTGAACCACACCTGCACGATAGAAGATCCACATCGTGCACTCGATTTGTTGAACCCAGTAAGACATTGGTTATGGCCTTCATCTCCGTCGAAGTGGACCTCGACAGCGACGCGTCGCCTCACACAGCTGACAACCTTCACCTCACAGCGGAGACCTTCCTCGCACAATTTGAGGGACTGGCTAAGCACAAGGAGCTCCCCGTCGCGGAGGAAGAGGGAAGAAGAGGAGAAAGAGGAGGAGGAGGAGGAGGAGGAGGGCGGCGGGCGTCAAAGGGGAAGGCGGCTGGCCCAAGTCCTGGGCCGCGGTGGCACGGGGCTGGGTACGGCGTTCGGTGGCCCGTCTCCGAGAGCCAAGCGCGGCCGCGTTTTGGTGGCGGTGCTGTTTATTTGTCGGGTCGCTGGCCTCCGTCGGGCGCTCTGGGGCGTTCGATGTCGAGCTGGCGTTTCGGGTCTCCTCCTTCAGATCGACTGGACGTAAAAGTGGCCTTCCCCAGACTGACCTTTGGCGCGGGCCCACCGGGGTCCCCCGATCGTTGAGCGCGAAGCGGTGGCAACGGCTTGCGCGCCCTGGTTTGGCCATCCCGTGTCCCCAGTTAAGCCGCGCACCCAAGGTCATTCTTGCCTGGGGTCATTCTTGCCCATAGCCGATTAGAGGAGGAAGCGTTACCGATGCTGCTACCATTCCCTCTTTTTCACCCTGCTTGGGCCTCTCGGGAGGCCCTCGTCGCCAAGGCTAGATTCGCTCCGAAGTTCTGGTCAGAACGCAGCCCCGGAGAGGTCCGGGGAGTACCAGCATCAGTTCCTTGTGGTTTCCCACGCCCGCCTCCGCCTCTGCCTTCTCCTTCTTCATCTGCCCCTGCGCCTCTCCCGCTCCCTGTCCCCATCCCCGTCCCTTCTTGTTCGCTCTCGAGCTCTGCAACCCGCCCTCGAAGATGGCCAGGGACTCGACCGCCCCCTTCGCGTAGGGTTGTTTCGCGCAGGATTTGAAGCATTGGTATTTCCGACGCTGTTTGGGTAAGTCGGAGCGCTGCAGCTACATCTATGGCCTCATTGTAGGATGGGCGCTTTGCCCGCGTTGTTCAGAATGGTGTTTTCGCTCCAGTGCGGGACACTTTGGGGGATCTGAGTACTGCCTCAACGTTGTCGCCCCCTCCTCTTCCTCCTCAACCTGATTCCTCCTCCTCCTCCTCCTCTTCCTCCTCCTCCTTTTCCGCCTCCTCCTCCTCCTTCTGCTCCTCCTCCTCATCATCCTCCTCATGTTATTCCTCCTCCTCCTCCTCCTCTTCCTCCTCCTCCTCCTCTTCCTCCTCCTCCTCCTCCTCCTCCTCCTCCTCCTCCTCCTCCTCCTCCTCCTCCTCCGCCTCCGCCTCCTCCTCCTCCTCCTCCACCCCCTTCTCCCATGCATAACGCGATGGGTTTTTTTGAGGAGTTCCAGGTCCGCCATGACACGCGTCCGCGCCTGACACATCAGCAGAGGGGGAAAAGGATGGGCGGGAGCGGCAGGATGTCAGCTGTGGCGCGAGCGCACCTGGCCTGCCTTCTCCCCCTGACCCCCTCCCTCTCCCTGCCTGGCAGGGCAGGAGGCGGGCAGCGCGGCGAAGCGGCAAGGAGGCGAGCGTGAGGAAGGCGACGGCCTCCCGGCGAGAGCGGCGGCGCTCGGCTCCCAGCGGCCGCCGAGGCCAGCGAGGAGACGCTCGAGGCGCGTGCCCCTCTGTGCTGTCGCCTTGCGGCACGGGCATCGCCTCCCAGGCCCTGGTCGACGGGTAGGCCGTCTCGGGGAGCTTTTGTCCACGGACTGGTGGCGAGCGAGTCGGGGAGCGCGGGGGGGGGGGTGAAGCTTGGCAGGGCCGAGGGACAGAGAGCGCCTTCCTCTGAAGGACCACCAAAGAGGTGACGTCAAGGTGGTCAAGCGCCTCGCAGGTCAAGCCGAAGAATATGTGCAAAATCCAGCGATTCGCTTCTGTCCAAAGTTTTGACTTGACGCCGGGTGTGGCGCATCAATTTGAGCTTGACCGAATAGGTTGATGCGCCCCTGACGTCCGTTTGGAGTGTTCTGCAGACCTGACCCCCAGCCCTACTCAAGGGAATGGCAGTGGAGTGCGTGAGTGAGTGAGTGAGTGAGTGAGTGAGTGAGTGAGTGAGTGAGTGAGTGAGTGAGTGAGTGAGTGAGGTGGAGGAGGAGGAGGAGGAGGAAGAGGAGGAGGAGGAAAAGGAAGAGGAGGAGGAGGAGGAGAAGGAGGAGGAGGAGGAGAGAGGAGGAGGAGAGGAGGAGGAGGAGGAGGAGGAGGAGGAGGAGGAGGAGGAGGAGGAGGAGGAGGAGGAGGAGGAGGAGGAGGGAGGAGGGAGCGCGGGGGGGGGGAGGCGGTGGAGCCAGAGGGCGGGGGCGACCAGCAGAGCTCCCACCTCCTCTCGCCGCGGCAAAATATGGCGGCGGGCGTGCGCCAGGTTCGGCCTTGCGGGGGGGCCCTCGCCCCTCGCCGGGCCCCAGGCAGCAAAGAAAAACGGCCCGATGAGAACGAGCACGACGTCCCGGGGATTGGATCGAGACCGGCTCCTCCTCCTCCTCCTCCTCCTCCTCCTCCTCCTCCTCCTCCTCCTCCTCCTCCTCCTCCTCCTCCTCCTCCTCCTCCTCCTCCTCCTCCTCCCGGGGTCCACGTTAACGACGTCGGGCGTCCGCTGGGCGGGAGGGAGACGGAGAGCTTAACGGAGGAAGGGAGGGGGCAAGCCAGGTACGCTCGCACCACAGCTGGTAACCCGTCCTCCCGCCCATCCCACCTGCCTGCTGTGGCGCGGGATCCTTCACATGATCTGACTGGCGGAGATGAGGAAGGGGGAAAGGACGAGGGGAAGGATCAGGACGAAGGACGACGAACAAGGACGACGGACGAAGAGGATGATGTGGTCGGGGCGTAAAATGATGACGATGAAGAGTTTGATGAGAAACAGCAGGAGGAGGAGGCCGAGGAAACAGTTCGACCAATAATGATATTGGCGATGACGGAGGAATGTGGCTGCCGCCGAGGCCACAGCGCCATTCCGAAGATTGCAGGACGTTCCAAGCTCCGATGGTGAAAGCATGTTCCTGACCACCACATGAACGTCCACTGTCGAAGGGCACTGTGAAAGCAGCAGTCGGAGGCAGGAATCTGCGCTGGGAAGCTGACGGGCGCTGCAGCGAAAGAGCTTTCCCGAAGGCCAGAAGTCGCTTCGATGCGAAAACCAACTCTCGACCACCAAGGGCTATTCACGTCGGGCCTAGGCATGCCAGATGTTCTGCAGTGAGGGGAGGGGAGTTTCAAGAGAGCGGTTCAGACGGAGAGTAGTTGTTCAAAGGGAGGAAAGGGGACAGGTGATAAGTACAGGGAGGAGCTGCAAGTTCGGTGCATTCGGAGTTCTGGCAACGTACTCCCCTTACGGACTGCGGAAAGAAGGAGGAAGCGCAGAGAGAGGCGAAAACGCGGCCAGTTGCCGCTGCTTGTAAACGCCTGGTCTGCACTCGACGCATGTGGCAAATTAAACGACTTTGTCAACGTATCGGTGCCGCGTGCTGGCAAACGTCTGGGTCATGTGTCCTATCACCTACAAGGATACGTGGTATTCTGTTTTCACCGTGCTGGATGCATTTTTCCCGGAAAGGGCGTAGGCCCAGGGTTCTCTTTTAGCTGTTTACCCCGGGATCGACGGCTCTAGGGCCGACGAAATTATTTGCTATAAATTACAAGGTAGAGTGTGAATTTGCAATTGAACCAATGCGTTTTTCGGGTGCCCGCTCGAGGAAAGTTTGCCCCCCCACCTCGGATCCTCGATAAATAACAGGGTCCGCAGACCACCGGTTTCCTTCGTAAAAAAAGGTGCGGCGCGTTTTGCGCGGAATCCATAGGAAATAACAATGTCTGGAGACCCGACCGCGACGCGGAAAAGCATCCCGCGCGCAGGAATTCCGAGGATGTCTCGCGCGTGCCGCGTCCCGCGCGCAGGAATTTCGAGGATATCTCGATGAATTCGCTGGTTTGTGCAGGAATTTCGCTAGGAGGGCCCAGGCACGTGTCCTGGCCACCCAGGTGGGTATCTAACATGGTGGTCCCTAGCTGGAACCACGTGTGTTCACGTGTCCAGGCCGCACAGAAAGGGGGTATCTTACATAGTGGTCCTTAGCTGGAACCACGTGTTTTTACGTGTCCAGGCCACACATGGGGCGTATCTAACATGGTGGCCCCGCGCTGGAACCACGTGTTTTCACGTGTCCACGCCACCCTAGGGGATATCTAACATGGTGGTCCCGAGCTGGAACCGCGTCGTTTCATGTGTTCGGGGCACCAAGGTAGGCATCTAACATGGTGGTCCAGAGTTGGTACCACGTGTTTTCACGTGTCCAGGCCACACAGAAGCGTGGTATCCAACATAGTGGTCCTTAGCTGGAACCACGTGTTTTCACGTGCCCAGGTCGCCCAGAGGAGTATCTAACATGGTGGTCCCGAGCTGGAGCCACGTGTTTTCACGTGTCCAGGCCACACAGGGGGGTATCTAACATGTTGTGCCCGAGCTGGAACCACGTCGCTTCAAGTGTCCAGGGCACCCAGGTAGGTATCTAACATGGTGGCCCCGAGTTGGTACCACGTTTTCACGTTTCCAGGCCACACAGTCGGGTATCTAATATGGTGGTCCCGCGCTGGGGCCACGTGTTTTCACGTGTACAGGCCACCCAGGCGGTATCTAACATGTTGGTCCCGAGCTGGAACCACATGTTTCACCGATCGAGGCCACCCAGGGGGTGTCTAACATAGTGGTCCTTAGCTGGGACCACGTGTTTTCACGTGCCCAGGTCGCCCAGAGGGTGTATCTAACATGGTGGCCCCGCGCTGGAACCGCGTGGTTTCACGTGTCCACGCCACCCAAGGGGATATCTAACATGTTGGCCCTGAGCTGGAACCACGTCGCTTCACGTGTCCAGGGCACCCAGGGGGTATCTAGCATGGTGGTCCAGAGCTGGAACCACGTGTTGCCACGTGTCCAGGCCACACAGGGGGTATCTAACATGGTGGTCCCGCGTTGGAACCACGTGTTTTCTCGTGTGCAGGCCGCCCAGGCGGGTATCTAACATGGTGGCCCCGCGTTGGAACCGCGTGTGTGCACGTGTCCGCGCCACCCAGGGAGTATCCATGGCGGTCCCGAGCTGGAACCACGTCCCATTCAGGAGGGTATCTAGCACGGTTGTCCCGAGCTCAAACGACGCGTATGCCCCTTGGCATGTCGTTTCGCGCGTTCTTTGGTACGTTCCGTGGTGCGTCCCGTGGCACTTCCATCGGCACGTTCCGTAGTGCGTCCCTTTTGGCACGTCCCGCGGTGCGTCCCCATGGCACGTCGATTGGCGCGTCCTTTGGGACGTTCCGCGGCGCGTCCTCTTGGCATGTTCCTTGTCAGTTAGCCTTGAGGAGGCTACTATGTGCTCAGGCGGCTCGAGCTTAAGATCCAGATCAGTTCGGTCAGGACTCGGATGCAAAGGATAACTCGATCCACAACAATATAGAGCACAATCGTGGCATAGCACATCGCAGTTCAGCACGATGCAGCACAGCACACCCCTCGGCACGGTACATCAAGATCGATACACTCAGCAGTGCAATTTAGCACGTTCTTTGGCACGTTCCGTGGCGCGTCCCGTGGCGAGTGCCCTTGGCACGTCGCGCGGTGCGTCCCCTGGCACGTCCCGTGGCACGTCCATTGGCACGTCCATTGGCACGTTCCGTAACACGTCCCTTTGGCGCGTCCCGCGGTGCGTCCCCATGGCACGTCCTTTGGCACGTCGCTTGGCGCGTCCTTTGGAACGTTCCGCTGCGCGTCCTCCTAGCATGTCCCCCTGTCAAATAGTTGTGGGGCAGCTACTATGTGCTCAAACAACTCGAGCTTAAGATCCATATCAGTTCGGTCAGGACTCGGATGCAAAGGAGGACTCGATCCACAACGTTATAGAACACAATCGCGGCATAGCACATCGCAACTCAGCACGGCGCAGTGCAGCACAGCCATCGGCACGGTACATCAAGATCGATACATTCAGCATTGCAATTTGGCACGTTCTTTGGAACGTTCCGTGGCGCATCCCGTGGCGAGTCCCCCTGGCACGTCGCGCGGCGTGTCCCTCGGCACGTCCCGTGGCACGCCCACTGGCACGTTCCATAACGCGTCCCCATTGGCACGTCCCGCGGTGCGTCCCCATGGCACGTCCCCTGGCACGTCGCCTGGCGCGTCCCTTTGAACGTTCTTCGGCGCGTCTTCCTAGCATGTCCCCTTGTCAAGAGGCTGTGGGGCAGCTACTATGTGCTCAGGCAGCTCGAGCTTAAGATCCATATCAGTTCGGTCAGGACTCGGATGCAAAGGAAGACTCGATCCACAACGCTACAGAGCACAATCGCGGCATAGCACATCGCAATTCAGCACGGTGCAGCGCAGCACAGCCCTCGGCACGGTACATCAAGATCGATACATTCAGCATTGCAACCTGGCACGTTCCGTGGCGCGTCCCGTGGCGAGTCCCTTTGGCACGTCGCGCGGCGCGTCCCCTGGCACGTCGCGCGGCGCGTCCCCTGGCACGTCCCGTGGCACGTCCTTTGGCACGCTACGTAACGCGTCCCCTTGGCACGTCCCGCAGTGAGTCCCCATGGCACGTCCCCTGGCACGTCGCCCGGCGCGTCCCTTGGAACGTTCCGCGGCGCGTCCTCCTAGCATGCCCCTTTGTCAATTAATTGTGGGGCAGCTACTATGTGCTCAAACAACTCGAGCTTAAGATCCATATCAGTTCGGTCAGGACTCGGATGCAAAGGAGGACTCGATCCACAACGCTACAGAGCACAATCGCGGCATGGCACATCGCAACTCAGCACGGCGCAGTGCAGCACAGCCATTGGCACGGTACATCAAGATCGATACATTCAGCATTGCTGTTGCCCGTCGCCCAATCAGGTGTCTTTGAAGCGTTGCCATGCTTTAGATTTCTATATTCCTTTCCGGGTTCGTGGGTCGATCATGTTTGCTCCTCTAGTCGTTCCCCCCTCATAGTCCCCTCCGTCTTCCGGCTCCCTCCCCACTCCCGTTCCCACATTCCCCATCGGCGCACTTTCGAAAGCAGGCTCATTCGCTTCACCCACGGCTAGTCGAGAGGCGATGTTGTTGTTGTTGTTGTATTTGCTCCTCTCGCCCCTTCCTCCATACGGTGGGGTCGTGTGTTGAGGAATGTGCACACGAGGCTTCAGGCCCTGGATGGCTCCTTCTCTGATGAGGGTGGCGGTGATATCCATAGCCAACCCACGATTAGAGTTCCACTGGCTTGAAGACCTGGATTCATTGTCCGATGGTTCCTTATCCAATGCCCTCACCGTGATTGCCCTGGAGAGCGACACCCCCGAGCGGACCGCCAGCGGGAGCGCAAGTTCGACGCCCTGGCCGCCATGAAGCCCGTAGCCCGCAGGAGCGAGCCGCGATGATGGTGATGATGATGATGATGATGATGATGATGATGATGATGAAGATGATGATGATGATGATGATGATGATGATGATGATCATGATCATGATGATGATTATGATAAAGATGATGGTGATGCTGATGATGATGCTGATGCTGATGCCGATGTTGGTGATTGTGACGATGAGTACGATGGTGATGATGATGGTGATGATGATGATGTTGATGATGATGGTGATGGTGATGATGGTGATGATGATGGTGATCACGGAGATGGAGATGGAGATGGAGATGGAGATGATGACGACGACGTTGATGATGGTGATGACGACAGTGATAGTGACTATGATGTTGCTGATGATGATGCTGACCATGATGACGATGATGACGATGATGGTGATGCTGACGATGATCATGATGATAGCGTTGGTTATGGTGATGATGCTGATGATGATGATGACGATGATGATAATGATGCTGATTATGGTGATGCTGATGCTGATGCTGATGATGATGATGATGAGGAGGAGGAGGAGGAGGAAGGGAGGGGGGAGGAGGAGGAGGAGGAGGAGGAGGAGGAGGAGGAGGAGGAGGAGGAGGAAGAAGTGGAGGCGAGTAGGAGAAGCTCTTCTGCTCTCCCCTCCTTCTCCTCCTCATTCTCCTCCTCCTCATCCTTCTCCTCCTCTTCCTCCTTCTCCTCCTCCCCATCCTCCTCCTCATCCCCTCCCCCCTCCCTGCATTCGCTTTTTCCGAGCGTAGGCCCGGAAAGGGCGTAGGCCGGGTCGTTATTCGCGACGGGCCGGCGAATTTATTTGAAATGAATAACGGGGTCGCGTAGGGCCAGCGAATTAAGATTTGAGGATTTCCCAAGCGAAACGCTGGTTTTTGAAATTCCGATCAATAAAACACAGGGTGCGGAGCACATTTGTGTCAGGGGCCCGAATCCGTTTGTTTTTACGTGTGTTGCCATCGATTGGCCCTCTCCAGGGGCACGAATCCGTGTGTTTTTCCCGGAAAGGGTTTAGGCCCAGGGTTCTCTTTTAGTTTGTTTCCCCCCGGGGTTTGACTTGAGGTGGGCCGGCGAATTTTTTTGCGATAAATATCGAGGTCGAGGTGGGCCGGCGAATTAAAATTTGAGGATGTCTCGAGCGAAACGCTTGTTTTTCAGAATTTGTCGAGGATATCTCGAGCGAAACGCTTGCTTTGTGTTTTAGATAGTCCTCTCCTGGGGACCTGAATTCCGAGGATCTCTCGAGTGAAATGCTTGTTTTCACATGCCCAGGTCTTGAGGATGTCTCGAGCGAGACGCTTGGTTTCACGCCTCCAGGTAGCCAAGGCAGATGTCTAGCATGAGGATTTGTTGAGGACGTCTCGAACCAGAGGCTTGTTTTCACGTGTCCAGGTCGCCCAGGCGGATGTCTAGCATGAGGCGGTGTCGATGAAGTCTCGATCGAGACGCTTGTTTGCACGTGTCCAGGTTGTCCAGGCGGATGTCTAGCATGCGGATGTGCTGAGAACGTCTTGAGCGAAACACGTGTTTTCACATGTCCAGGTCGCCCAGGTACAGCACAGCCCTCGGCACCGTACATCAATATCGATACCCTTAGCATTGCAGCCTGGCATGTTGCCTGGCACGTTCCGCGGAGCGTCCCGTGGCGAGTCCCCCTGGCACGTCGGGCGGTGCACGTCCATTGGCTCGTTCCGTAGCGCGTCCCCTTGGCACGTCCCGCGGTGCGTGCCCATGGCACGTCCCCTGGCACGTCGCCTGGTGCGTCCCTTGGGACGTTCCGCGGCGCGTCCTCCTGGCATGTCCCCTCTGCCGATTAGTTTTGGGGCAGCTACCATCTGCTCAGGCAGCTCGAGCTTAAGGTCAAGATCAGTTCGGTCAGGACTCGGATGCCAGGGAGGACTCGATCCACAACGCTATATAGAGCACAATCGCGGCATGGCACATCGCAGTTCAGCACGGCCCAGCACAGCACAGCCGTCGGCACGGTACATCAATATCAATACATTCAGCATTGCACTTTGGCACGTTCCTTGGCACGTTCCGTGGCGAGTCCCCCTGGCACGTCGCGCGGCGCGTCCCCTGGCACGTCGCGCGGTGCACGTCCATTGGCACGTTCCGTAGCGCGTCCCCTTGGCACGTCCCGCGGTGCGTGCCCATGGCACGTCCCTTGGCACGTCGCATGGCGCGTCCCTTGGGACGTTCCGCGGCGCGTCCTCCTGGCATGTCCCCTCTGTCAATTAGTTTTGGGGCAGCTACCATCTGCTCAGGCAGCTCGAGTTTAAGATCCAGATCAGTTCGGTCAGGACTCGGATGCCAGGGAGGACTCGATCCACAATGCTATATAGGGCACAATCGCGGCATGGCACATCGCAGTTCAGCACGGCCCAGCACAGCACAGCCCTCGGCACAGCACATCAAGATCGATACATTCAGCATTGCATTTGCCCGTCGCCCAATCAGGTGTCTTTGAAACGTTGCCATGCCTTACCTTTCTATATTCCTTCCTGGGTTCGTGGGTCGATCATGTTATGTGTGGTCCTGTAGGTTGGCCCTCTCCAGGAGGCCCCACGAGGACCCAGGTCACCCAGGGGGGGTATCTAACATGGTTGTCCCGAGTTGGAACCACATGTTTTTACGTGTCACCTAGTGAGAGATATAACACGATTATCCCGAACTGGAACCACGTGTTTTTACATGTCCAGGCCACCCAGCAAGGTATCTAACATGATTGTCTCGAGCAAGGACCACGTTTTTTTATTGTGTCCAGGCCACTCAAGGGTGTATCTAACATGGTTGTCCCGAGCTGGCACCACGTGTTTTTACGTGTCCAGGCCACCCAGGGGGGTATCTGACATGGTTGCCCCGAGCAAGGACCACGTGTTCTAAATTGTCTAGGCCACCCAGGAGTGTATCTAACATGGTTGCCCAGAGCTGGCACCACGTGTTTTACGTGTCCAGGCCACCCAGGGGGCATCCAACATGGTTGTCCCGACCAAGGACTATGTGTTTTAGCGTGTCCAGGCCACCCAGGGGTGTATCTAACATGATTACCCAGAACTGGATTCACGTGCTTTCAAGTGTCCCGGAAACCCAGTGGGGTATCCAACATGATTGCCCCGAACTGAAATCACGTGTTTTTACGTGTCCAGGCCGCCCAGGGAGGTATCTAACATGGCGTCGGGCCCAACGCCGAATTATGAGGCAACGCACGGGGGGGCCGAGAAGCGCGACCCGAGCACATATCCCAAAGCAGAAAAGTGATGTTTGATTGCTCTGGACAGAAGCGGCGCTTTGGTGGCCTCTCCAGGGAAGACATTGCGAGGATGTCTCGAGCGGGAGCGCGAATTCAGCGTATCCAGGCCACGCAGGAAGGTATCTAACATAGTTGTCCCGAGCTGGAACCACGTGTTTTTACATGTCCAGGCCACCCAGGGGGATATCTAACATGGTTGTCCCGAGCTGGAAGCACCTCTTGTCACGTGTCCAGGCAACCCAGGGGGGGGTATCTAACATGCTTGTTACGTATGTTCTGCATTGGGATATGTGTTCGGAGAGCGCGTTTCGCTTCCCCCCGCCCCCCAGGACGCCCCATGAAGTTCGAGAAGCGTGAAAACACATGGTTCCTAACGCCCCAGTGCGGGACAAGAGTGAAAACACATGGATTCCTAACGCCACAGGGCGTGAGAAGAGCAAAAACACATGGGTTCCGAACGCCCCAGGGCAGAACAAACGTGACAGCACATGGGCTCCTAGTTCCTAACGCCCCAGGGCTGGACAAACAAGAAAACACATTGATTCCTAGCGCCCCAGGGCGGGACAAGCATGCAAACACATGAGTTGTTAATGCCCCAGGGCGGGAGAAGCGTGAAAACACATGGGTTCCTAACGCCCCAAGGCGGGACAAACGTGAACACATGGGTTCCTAACGCCACAGGGCGGGAGAAGCGTGAAAACACATGGGCTCCTAACGCCCCAGGGCGGGAGAAGCGCAAAAACACATGGGCTCCGAACGCCCCAAGAGGCCCCAGGAGGCCCCAGCCCAGCCCTCGGCATGGTACATCAAGATCGACACTCTCAGCATTGCAACTTGGCACGTTCCGTGGCGAGTCCCCCTGGCACGTCGCGCGGCGCGTCCCGTGGCACGTCCCTTGGCACGTTTCGTAGCGCGTCCCATTGGCAGGTCCCGCGGTGCATCCCCATGGCACGTCCCTTGGCACGTCGCTTGGCGCGTCCCTTGGGACGTTCCGCGGCGCGTCCACCTAGCGTGTTCCCCTGTCAATTAGCTCGGGGGCAGCTACTATGTGCTCAGGCAGCTCGAGCTTAAGAACCAGATCAGTTCGGTCAGCACTCGGATGCAAAGGAGGGCGGACTCGATCCACAACGCTACAGAGCACAATTGCGGCATGACACATCGCAGTTCAGCACCGCGCAGCACAGCACAGCCTTCGGCACGGTACATCAAAATCGATACGTTCAGCATTGCATTTGCCCGTCGCCCAATCAGGTGTCTTTGAAGCGTCGCCATGCCTTACATTTCTATATTCCTTTCCGGGTTCGTGGGTCGATTATGTTAGTTCCCAGGTGAGTTGTCGCCCCCAGCTGGGTGTTTAGAAAAGCCCCCCCGATGGGCACACACACGCACACCCCTGTCGTGTTGAGCGTACCTCCAGTCGATACGCCTAGCCCCTGTGGACACAGGATTCCAGACGGGTCTGCCGCCAGGGACGCGGATTCATGGGAGGAGGGCGAGGAGGAGGAGGAGGAGGAGGAGGAGCAGGAGCAGGAGCAGGAGCAGGAGGAGGAGGAGGAGGACCAGTGCGACCCCAAGACTCATCAACGATGTTGGGATACATCCTCCCTCCAACATAGGCCTCATGCATGGATTCACTTTCAATGAGTTGTGAAACAACCGTGTGAACATCCTGAAGCGTGCCAAAACACCATTCTCAGGATTTCCAGGCCACCAATCATCCTGACAATTGCGTCGTGACGA